TGTATATGTATCAGGAAATGTAATAAAATTGAGGAATTTTCTTCTTTCCATTTTTGGTGAAATTTGGCGAAAATCCCTGTACTATAGTACAGGGACTTTAGTCCGATTTTGGAGTAACTTTAAAAATTTGTAAAAAATCCAAATTTGATCAGAATCTGTTCAAACTTGAAACACAACATAAGAACATGTATATGTATCAGGAAATGTAATAAAATTGAGGAATTTTCTTCTTTCCATTTTTGGTGAAATTTGGCAAAAATCCCTGTACTATAGTACAGGGACTTTAGTCCGATTTTGGAGTAACTTTAAAAATTTGTAAAAAATCCAAATTTGATCAGAATCTGTTCAAACTTGAAACACAACATAAGAACATGTATATGTATCAGGAAATGTAATAAAATTGAGGAATTTTCTTCTTTCCATTTTTGGTGAAATTTGGCAAAAATCCCTGTACTATAGTACAGGGACTTTAGTCCGATTTTGGAGTAACTTTAAAAATTTGTAAAAAATCCAAATTTGATCAGAATCTGTTCAAACTTGAAACACAACATAAGAACATGTATATGTATCAGGAAATGTAATAAAATTGAGGAATTTTCTCCTTTTCATTTTTGGTGAAATTCGGCCAAAATCCCTGTACTATAATAGTACAGGGACTTTACGCTGATTTTGGAGCAACTTTAAAAATTCGTAAAAAATCCAAATTTGATTGAAATCAGCTCAAACTTGAAACACAACATAAGAACATGTATATGTATCAGTTATACTTACATCACGGGCCATAGTGTAGAATATCCTTGGTTGTCCCAGTAGGCCAGTGAAACAAGCTGTCGTTAGTCCAAACAGTGACCCTATAGTAACCACCTTTCCAGCCCAAGCCAGCCCTCGCTGCTCAAGAGCAAAGGCCAAAGGAGCTTTAGCTGGTACCATGAATTGAAAAGGTAACAAACCAGTAGCAACTAGTCCAACCCCAACGTATACAACTGCAGCAATACTGAGGGAACCAATGATCCCTCTCGGTAAGTTCTTCTGAGGGTTCTTAGTTTCTTCGGCTAAAGAACTGACCATATCGAACCCAAGATAAGAGAAGAAGACCGTCCCTGCTCCAGCAAAAACTGAAGCAGCTCCAAACGGAACAAAAGTATCATCTTGATAGACCCAGTTACTTGGTACTACTCTAGTGCCTCCTACTCCAACAAAGAATGCTAATATCCCAATATTGAGGATAGTGATGATGACATTGAATGTTGAAGAGGTTGATATACCAAACAACATTACAATAGTGCACAGTATTACTATGCCTGCAGCTGCTGGACTCAGGGACGTAATACCACAGGGTATTTCACTGAGCCATGTCGGGGGGGTGAGGCCATACTGAGTCCACATGTAAGTGAAATAGTCGCCCCAGGAGCGAGCAATGGCTGCCGAACTGATGCAATACTCCAGAGTAAGGTTCCAACCAATTCTAAAGGGACAAAGAGTTAGAGCTATTATGAGGATTGATTGTCATGAGGGAATTAAGAATTGAATAGCATTTATCATTAGCACAATCAACAAGAAGGACACTGTTAATACACAAATCAATTCAATGCTCCTTTTTACAATAAATAAATAATTTTGACTTAATATTATGTGAAGTTTTAACACAGCTTTTATAGAATCCAATTAAGATTGAAACTAGCTTTTAGTTTCTACATAACATGCAATAAAATCCACATTGCTATAGTAACATTGTTGAAATACTATTAGTGTTTGTGAACAATCCGTTGCAATGACACACATCATGAGATCAGTTGTCATCACAAATAAAAAGGAAATGATATGATTACACACTACAGCTATGTGTCAACTCCATGTACACAACAAAACATGTAAACATCACTTGTGTACAGACACACAAATACATGTGTACAGTCATCACTACAATGTAGCCCCTTTAGAGGTACTTTTGTATAGGTTTGTACCAATTGGGACATTACAAAATGCCCTCATTATAGAGGTGTCCTTATTATAAAGGGATTCTTGTTATGAAGGTGTCCTTATTATAAAGGTGTTTTTGGCCACAGTGGGTGATTCCACTTTGTAATCAAAACACGACAAATAAATACACTCACATCCATGCCAGAAATTCACCAAATGAAGCATACGCAAATGTATAAGCAGATCCAGTGACAGGAACCCTGGCTGCAAACTCTGAGTAGGCAAGAGCTGTGAATACTGCCGAGAGGGCTCCAATTAGAAATGATATAACGACACCAGGACCTTAACACGAGGTGAGAAAAAACTTGAAAATTAACAAATTAACAATAATACTTGTGGCTATTGTAATTTGTAACATAATGATAATAATAATAATAATGATAATGATGATGATGACATGTGCAATAATAATTATTTTTAATATTCTGCTACTCTTGCAAAATGGCTGCAAAATAGCTTGTTTATATTTCACATATTCAGTACAGGTTCACACTACAGAAAGAGAATGGCTTCCTTTGTGCTATAAATGAGTTATGACTATCAATTTACAATTCTCAAAAGAATGATGACACCTCTTTATAGTAAGTACCACACACATCATCACAGACATTATCTTCTTATTATTATAATTATTACCTGCTATCCCTGCTCCAATTCCTATCAATGAGTAGATACCAGCACCAACAGTGCATCCGACACCGTAGCCTAGCAGATCAATGAGCCCGAGTCTCTCAGCTAAGCTGCTGCCCTCTGGTCGGTTCTCCCGCTCCTCGTTAAAAGCTTCTATTGGCTTTATAGCGAACAAGGACTTGAGTTTGTAGGATTTCTTGATCCGGCGAACAGCATTTCCGACGGCCTCTGAGTTTATGGAGACGTTTGTTCTGCTCTTTCCACCACTAGAATAAGCAGAGCCGTTACCAAGGAGAGACTGGTCCTCCTCCATTTTAGACTTAATTTAATCACATGCAAACATTTAACATCATAGTGGGTGTGGCTACAAAATTTATTAATTAATTTTTACAGTTCTCGAAAAAGATTCTGAAAAAATGCAGCAAATTCATAAAGAAAAGTTACAAGACCTTTTCCGGCTAGTAAGGAGGTCATACAGGATCAAGTCACTGTTTGCTGTGAAGCCGTTAGAAGTATTCGTCGAGGAGAGAGAGAAGAGACCAGAAGGAAAGAGACTTGCTGAAAGCCTGACCTTGATAGATCTGCTAGGATATGGTGTAGGGTGTACTATAGGCTCTGGTATCTATTCACTGATTGGGATTGGAGCTGGTATTGCAGGTACAGTTATTATAGTATAAATATATCAATTTTACAGTGATGTTCCTTTTAATTTAAAATTATACATACTACTTGTACAGTGATGTTAATGATAATAATACCTGCACTATTACTGATGTGTGTATCCTTATAGGTCCTGGAGTGGTTATTTCACTGCTCATTGCAGCCTCCTCTTGTGTACTCACTGCATTAGCTTATTCTGAATTTGCTGCTCGGCTACCTGTCACTGGGTCTGCATACAGCTATGCTTATGCTTCGTTTGGGGAGTTTCTGGCATGGATGTGAGACTTTAATGCATACAGATACCCAAACTTCATGCAATACTGTGTTTAAGTCTACTGATATTGTGGTTCATTGCCAGCATTGTTGATTACTATAAAGCAGCTTAATGCTTGCCAAATCCACTCTTCCTGATGAGAGTAGAGCCTACTACTGCAGAGTATTTTAGAATGTGTCAAGTTATACTAAATATTTAATTATTCATTCTCTTTTTAAGGATCGGGTGGAATCTTACACTTGAGTATTCTATTAGTTCAGCTGCAATAGCTCGTGGATGGGGAGGCTATTTCATTGGGTTCTGGGACCAATGGGGACTCACGTTACCAGACTGGATCAATAATGTACCCTGTGGTATTACATCTCTCAGTCCAGCAGCTGCATTCATAGTTATACTGTGCACTATTGTAATGTTGTTTGGTATATCAACCTCTTCAACATTCAATGTCATTTCAACTATAATTAATGTAGGTATATTAGTATTCTTTATTGGAGTAGGAGGCACTAGAGTAGTGCCAAGTAACTGGATTTACCAGCAGGACTCATTCGTACCATTTGGAGCCGTTTCAGTCTTTTCTGCAGCTGGAACTGTCTTCTTCTCTTATCTTGGATTCGATATGGTCAGTTCTTTAGCCGAAGAAACTAAAAACCCTCAAAAGAACATACCAAGAGGGATCATTGGCTCTCTCGGTATTGCTGCGACTTTATATGTTGGAGTTGGACTAGTTGCTACTGGTTTAATACCATTTCAATTCATGGTACCTACTGAAGCTCCTTTGCTGTATGCATTGAACCACAGAGGTCTGGGATGGGCAGCTAAAGTGGTATCCTTTGGTGCTTTGTTTGGTCTAACCACAGCTACATTTACCTGTCTACTGGGACAACCAAGGATATTCTATACTATGGCTCGTGATGTAAGTGTTTTATAATTTTCAAAAGTTATTATTCTCTTTTAGGGTTTGCTGTTTCCATTCTTCCAATGGACAGTTAAGAGGTTTGATGTTCCTGTAATTGGTACAATAATAACAGGAATATTCACAGCAGGAGTTGCTTTCTTTATGACTCTGGGTGCCCTAGCTGATGCTATATCTATTGGAACACTGATGGCCTTTAGTTTAGTGTGTGCTGGTGTCATGGTATTGAGGTACACAGGAGGGAAGCGTGATTACATTCCAATATCACTCATCATTGCATTTACATGTGTCACCTTTATGTCAGCCATGTTCTTCACTCACAGTCTTCCTCTACCAGTTCCTATTGTATTTGGTGGAGTTGCTTTCCTTTTCTTCATTGCTCTCTGTTTCATGAAGACCTACAACACTCCAACTACATTCAAGTGTCCTCTGGTACCTCTCATACCATGTCTAGGTATTGCAATCAACATGTACATGCTAGCTGGACTCAAATCTGCTGCATGGATCAGACTGGGGATATGGCTGGCCATTGGTATACTCATATATGTGTTCTATGGTATTTGGAACAGCAAAATGAGAGACTATATTCCACCAGTACCGTTGGAGACATTGCAATCTTCTGAAAGTGATGAGCAAAAAACTAAACATGAAGAAAAGAAAAATTTTTTTGATAAAATTAGAGATAAATGTACAATTAATTGATATTATTCCTAATTCCTGATTCATTATCATCATTTATCATTATTATAAGTCCCTATATCTAGTAGGTGTGGTCAAGCTATTAATTGCAAAAATGTCATCATCAGGAGACGGTGTAACTACAGCTTTTAATTCTAGCTTTCTCAGTTACAAGAGCACTGCTACTACTGCTAATAGAATGGAACCAATTCAAAATGACAGACCACGTTTAACTAAAAGGAGGTACAGCGAGTTTCTCCAGAGGATCAAGGCTTCCTACAAATTCAAGTCCCTCTTGGCTGTAAAACCCGTCGAAGCATTCATCGCTGATCGAGAGAACAGAAAAGAAGGACAAAGCTTAGCTGAGAAACTCGGGCTCGTTGATCTGTTAGGATATGGTGTTGGATGCACTGTTGGTGCTGGTATCTATTCACTAGTTGGTATCGGAGCAGGCATAGCAGGTAAGTATGTGTCCACATGCTTGGCACATGTACTGTTTTTGGTTGGCAGGTCCAGGAATTGTAATATCATTTCTTGTTGGAGCTATATCATGTGTATTCACAGCTCTAGCCTACTCAGAGTTTGCAGCCAGGGTTCCTGTCACTGGATCTGCTTATACATTTGCTTATGCTTCATTTGGTGAATTTCTGGCATGGATGTGAGTAATCACTGACTGTTGTTGCATCAGCCATAATTCTTATCTTAATAATAATCATAGAGGTTTCTTGTTTTTATAAGGATAATATAGAAACTCCTTCCATTATTATTTGTTTTACTGTAGGATTGGGTGGAATCTTACCCTGGAGTATTGCATCAGTGCAGCTGCAATAGCCCGCTCATGGGGTGACTATTTCGTTGGGTTCTGGGACCAATGGGGACTCACGTTACCAGACTGGATCAATGATGTACCCTGTGGTATCACGTCCCTGAGTCCAGCAGCTGCAGGCATAGTAATACTGTGCACTATTGTAATGTTGTTTGGTATATCAACCTCTTCAACGTTTAATGTGATCATCACTATCCTCAATATTGGGATATTAGCATTCTTTGTTGGAGTAGGAGGCACTAGAGTAGTACCAAGCAACTGGGTCTATCAAGATGATACTTTTGTTCCGTTTGGAGCTGCTTCAGTTTTTGCTGGAGCAGGGACGGTCTTCTTCTCTTATCTTGGGTTCGATATGGTCAGTTCTTTAGCTGAAGAAACTAAAAACCCTCAGAAGAACTTACCGAGAGGGATCATTGGTTCCCTCAGTATTGCTGCTGTTGTATACGTTGGGGTTGGACTAGTTGCTACTGGTTTGTTACCTTTTCAATTCATGGTACCAGCTAAAGCTCCTTTGCTGTATGCATTGAATCACAGAGGTCTGGGGTGGGCAGCTAAAGTTGTATCCTTTGGTGCTTTGTTTGGCCTAACCACTGCTACATTTACCTGTCTACTGGGACAACCAAGGATATTCTACACTATGGCTCGTGATGTAAGTGTTTTTAAAATTTCAAAACTAAACTGATTGTTCTCTTTTAGGGTTTGCTGTTTCCATTCTTCCAATGGACAGTTAAGAAGTTTGACATTCCTGTAATTGGTACAATAATAACAGGA